ACACAGTGACACGTCAGCTACAGTGACACGTCAGCAGTGCCACGTCAGACACAGTGCCACGTAAGCAGTGCCACGTCAGCAACATGACGGGCCTGCCAGGCCAACTGGCCAATGAGCCCATTGCCGACTACAAAAAGCGTTTCCAGGCTCAGCTCGCTATCATCGAGGCTGAGGAACAACGCCAGCTGGCAGCCAAGGCTGCCCAGCTACAGGCTGAAAAAGCGGCAACAGCAGAGAAGCTGCGGCTACAGGCCAAAGCAGACGCAGATGCCCAGGCTCGCTGCAAGGAAGCCCAAGATCTGCTGCAGCGGCATGAAGCCAACAGCATCGACAGACTCAAGTTCTGGCACTTTGAACCGAACGGCAACAAGGCAACACCGGAAGAGCAGCATAAGGAGTTCATGGCCAAGCTCGTGACCAGGTTGGTTAATACTTGTAACCACCTACAGTCCGAGCTAGCGAACCTCCAGCGGGCCGTGCGGAACCATAAGACTCAGCACGATGATGCCACACGGGCACTGGACGCCCGTGTATTGGACCTGGAACAGGCTATACCAGGATCAGATGCTGGGGCTTCCAGCAGTGCACCCTCTAGCCGCCAACTGGAGGAACGCATTGACCACGTAGTGGCAATGCTCGGCGACATCAGCACCTTCGCTGCGCCGACCACCATCAGCAGTCAGCTGCATACCTTGAAGACCGAGGTCCAGCAGCTGCAGTCAACGAACGCGGATGGCAATCCGAAGTTGTATAAGATGCCAACATTCCAACTGGACAAGTTCGACAACTACACGCAGCAGGATCCGGTCCTCTGGTGGGAAGCATTCACAACGCAACTCGCAATTCTGCCCGTCGCCAAGCACGCGTACATCAGCGCCCTGTTCATGAACTCAAAGGGCGGATGCCAGACCTGGGTTGACCCACTTGGCAACCTCCCACGGCGTCGACGTACCGGACTGCAAGGACAAGATCACATGGGAGGAACTGACACGGCTGTGGAAGAAGCGGCTCATCGTCGACGACGCGCCAGCACTCGCCATCAACCGTCTGTTCACCACGTCACAGGGCAACACCGCAACACGGGACTGGCTCACGGAGTGGTAGAAGATTGCGGCAGTGCCCAATCTGGACTTGCCATTCACGCATTTACGCCGTGAGTTCTACAACAGGTCTTGTGCTGCATTGAGCCAGGCTCTTGGTGATCGCGAGCAGTACTCAACCTTCGCTGAGATCATTAACAAGGCAAGGGAGATCATCAAGACCAACACGTCAACTGCACACGAGAAGTCAACATGGCAGCCGACCTATGTGGAGAAGGTACGAGCTGGTCCGCGACAGCAGCACTTCACTGCAGTCCAGTCGGACAGTGGAGATAACCCAGCAGCCACTCCAGCATCAGGTGACGGAGATCAGGTGGCTGCTGTCCAGCCGCGAAGCAACAACAAGTCCCGCAACAATTGGAAGGCGAAATCCGCATCGCAGGCCGGAAATGGACAGCCAGTACAAGTTCCATGGGTCAAGTTTAACTTGACCGAGGCGGAGTACAAGTTTCGCGGCCGTTACGGCTGCTGCTACTGGTGCAACAGCACCAAGCACAAGACCTCCCTGTGCCAGGATCAGGGCAAGGAGGATGTGCGACCCCGCCTCAACTCGGGAAACTGAGCCGCAATCTATCGTCGAGGATTCGACGTCATGGTCAAGACTTGAAGAGCTTGACCCATTGACGTTCACGGACTTCCAATGGATGCCCGTTCCCTCGACCAGACGATTGTCGAAACCGCATTGCACCGTGCTTATGGCACAATTGCGGGATTACTTGCACACTGCAGTACCAGCTCCGTTGATGGACGCCGGAGCAGAGGTTGTCGACCTTCACGCCTACATCGCGAAGATCGACCACGAGTTCAAGACGCAACGATACGACGACATCGACGCACCATTGCTATACGTACGCATTCAGATCGGAGAGGCGACCTGCAGCGCTTTGATCGACTGCGGAGCATCTCGCAACTACATCAGCCAGGACTTCATGGTGCGCGCCGGCCTTGGCCCACTCGTCCGAAGGAAGCCCCAGCCTACGCAAGTCACATTGGCGGACGGTCACACGCACAAGTCAATCAACCGGTGCATTGACGACGTCCCGGTGTACTTTGCCCCTCACGCAAGTGAGACTGTGTCCTTTGACATTCTGGACACCAAATTCGACATGATCTTGGCCATGTCATGGCTGCGAAGCAAGGATCACCCGGTGAACTTCTACCGCCGCACCGTTCACATTCGTGATCGGAACGGAGTACAAGTCCCATGCACGGTGCCTCTTCCTCATCCTTCGATCAGCTGCCACGTGGTATCCGCCGCAAGCATGCGAGCTTCCATCATCAAAGACGACATCGAGGAGATGGGGGTGTGTTTTCTCCATGCCCTCCGCCCCGAGACGCTTCATCGACGGACTCATCTTCGGATCCACGCATCACCGAGCTTCTCGACGCCTACAGCGACGTGTTCGAAGGCCCGCACGGAGTAGTACCGGATCGGCCCATCCGCCACGAGATCATCCTCGAGGACGGGGCCGTACCTCCGCAAGGTTGCATCTACCGAATGAGCGAGGAAGAGTTAAGTGTGCTTCGGGCACAACTCGGCGACCTTCTGGAGAAAGGTTGGATTCGGCCTAGCTCATCGCCATACGGTGCTCCTGTTCTCTTCGTCCGGAAGAAGAACAAGGACCTGCGGTTGTGCATCGATTATCGCAAGCTCAACGCGCAGACGATCAGGAACGTCGGCCCTTTCCCACGCATCGACGACCTTCTCGAGCGATTGGGCGGCGCCAAAGTTCTTCTCCAAGCTGGACCTCAAGTCGAGATATCACCAACTCGAGATTCGCAAGGAGGATCGCTACAAGACCGCGTTCAAGACACGGTATGGGCATTTCGAATGGCTGGTCATGCCGTTTGGCCTTACGAATACGCCAGCCACTTTCCAAGCGGCTATGACAACGGAGTTCCGACACATGCTGGATCGGTTTGTACTCATCTACCTCGACGACATCTTGGTGTATTGTCGGAGTTTGGAAGAGCATGTGGAACACTTGCGCACCGTTTTGGAGCGGCTACGACAGGCCAAGTACAAAGCAAACCGCGACAAGTGCGAGTTCGCACAGCAGGAGCTGGAGTACTTGGGCCACTATGTGACGCCGAAAGGCATCCATCCGCTCGCGGACAAGATCGAGGCCCTACGAGTGTGGCCCGAGCCCACCAACACCACGGACATTCGCTCATTCATGGGGTTGGCGGGCTACCATCAGCGATTCATCACCGGATATTCCAGGATTGCTGCACCTATGGCGAGGTTACAGTCGCCAAAGGTGCCATTCGTATTCGATGATGACGCACGCCGGTCATTCCAAGCACTTAAGACGGCGATGCTTATGGCACCCGTCCTTAGCATCTATGACCCCACCTTGCCGACGAGAGTGACTACGGACGCTTCCGACTATGGCATTGGGGCAATCTTGGAACAGCACGACGGCGACGACTGGCACCCTGTGGAGTATTTCAGCCACAAAGTGCCTCCCATCAACTCACTTGATGATGCAAGGAAGAAGGAGCTACTCGCGTTCGTCATGACTCTCAAGCGATGGCGGCACTTCCTCCTTGGGCGTCGTAGGTTCACATGGGTTACGGACAACAATCCATTGACCTACTACAAGATGCAGGATACGGTGAGCCGCACGATCGGACGATGGATGTACTTCATCGACCAATTCGACTTCACACCGAAACATCTTCCCSMCCTCTCCAATCGCGCAGCAGATGCACTCTCGCGAAGACCTGATCTTTGCGCTATGACACATCATGCCTTCACATTCGACGAGGAGCTTCAGCGACACTTCATCCGGGCATACCAGTCTGATCCGGACTTCGCCACGCTATATGCACAACTATCTTCGGATCACCCACCGGCCAGCCATTACCGCATTGTCGACGGGTACTTGCTCCTCCACTCGAGAGGCAAGGACTTACTATGTGTCCCACGCGACTGCCGTCTTCGGACTCGCCTCCTCGGCGAGTATCATGATTCGCGACTCGCCGGCCATTTCGGAGTCAACCGCACTATTGCACGGCTTCGACAGCGATTCTGATGGCCCGATCTCATTTCCGATGTCACTCGGTATTGCGACTCTTGCGAAGTTTGTCGACGCAGCAAGCCCCGCAACCGCAATCCCTACGGCGAGTTACGCCCGATGCCTATCCCACGGGAAGCTGGTCTCTCCATTGCCATGGACGTCACCGGTCTGTCTCCCCGCGACCGGCTCGGGCACGACGGCATCCTCACAGTTGTGGACCGATTGAGTAAGTACGCGCGTTTTCTCCCTTGCAAGTACCACTCCACGGCTCCCGAACTGACACGCCTCTTGCACACTGGTTGGATTTGTGGCCACGGTGTACCAGAAGACATAGTCAACGACCGCGACACTCGTTTCATGTCAGCATTTTTGACTGCGCTCATGCAGGAGTCCGACACGACAATGAAACCAAGTTCGGCTCGGCATCCACAGACAGACGGGCAGACGGAGCGAGCACATCAAACCGCTCAAATGATGCTTCGTACGCTCATCCGTCCGGACCAGAAAGATTGGGTTGACCGCCTCCCCGACATCGAGTTCGCCTACAACACTTTAGTGCACCCGGCGATCGGCGTGACTCCATTCGAGTTGCACCACGGTGGACGAAAAGGCCGTATCTTCGCCGACCTTCTCCTCCCTCGACCAGCCTACATTGACGCCGCTTGCTCCCCCGCTTCCGTTCGGAAGTACAGGGACTTGCTGACTCAAGCCCGCGCAAACATGCAAAAGGCTCAAGTTCGCATGCAGCAGCAAGCCAACAGGCGTTGCGTACCTTGTCCTATCCGCGTCGGTGATCTGGTTTGGGTCTCCGCGGAAGAGTTTGCACTGGAACAGGATGTTTCACGCAACCTGCTTCCCAAGTGGTTTGGACCATGGTCTGTGACAGCAGCCACGGGCGATGAGCCGATGGCCCTGCATTTGTGATCAACATTCCAGAGCATCTGACGGTACATCCAGTCTTTCATGCCTCGAAGCTTGCAACTTACACGCCAGCCAGGAGCGACGACTTTCCGGGCCGACGATCGCAGGACCCTCCTTCTAAGGATGGTCATCAGGAAGTTGACCGCGTCATCACCGATCGCAAGTACGGCAGCAAGCCGCGGCAGTACAAAGTCACATTCAAAGCATGCGATCGCGACAACACTCGGTGGATTTCAGGCGCAGATTTGAAAGCATCCGCACCGCTGATCTACGCGCATTATGAAAAGCGGAGGTTAGCTCAGGAAGCTTCACGACCAGCCCCTCCCACCCGGACTGTGGTCCCTCCCTCAGACAGACAGCTTCGCCCTCGCAGGTAAGCTCGTTTTTCAAGGAGGGGGGGGTGTGGCATACTGCATAGCCACACGGGCCATCTTCGAGGTACCTGCATCAAGGCGCCAACTTCACAGGTTAGTACTGGACACAGAGAGAGAGAGTTATTCTTCTTTCTCTTCTAAGTCCACCATCTCTTCTCACCCTCTCGCCACCTGACTTCTCAGACTACGACAGAGAGAGACAGAGTTGTGACTTGAGA